TAAATAAATAAATAAATAAAACTACCTCGTGGATGGAGGGGAAAATGTCTCTTTGTTTTGTCGTCAGTACAAACAAACAACGAAAAACTGATAAGTGAGACAATGCTGCTGCTGCTGCTGCTGCTGGAGCAGCAGCAGCAGCAGCTGCGGTGTTGTCTCTTAAGTGCAGCCGAACCAGACACAGAAGAGTAGCAGCAGAATGACGCAAAGACCGGAAATCTATTGCTGTTGCTGCTGCTGCTGCTGCTGCTGTTGCTGCTGCTGCTGCTGCGGCCACATCACCGCCAGACCCCTCTGCGGCAGCAAATCCTAAATCGCTGCTGCTGCTGCTGCTGCGTGTGCTGCTGCTGCTGCTGCTGAAAAGATCTTCTTCATCTGCATCTTCGTTCATCCCCAGCAGTGCAGCTGCCCGCAGCAAACTCACTACCTCAGGGTCATCGTCTGCTGCTGCTGCTGCTGCTCTGCTGCTGCTGCTGCTGCTGCTGCTGCTCTTGCTGGCCCAGAGCCCTTGGCGGGAGACCCTTTGCCGCATAAGTGAGGACTTTAAGAAGCGCCGCTGCTGCTGAAAAGAATTGCTGCTGCTGCTGCTGGCAAAGCAGCAGCAGCAGCAGCAGCAGCGGCAGCAGCAGCAGTCAAAGCAGACGAATTGCTTCGCCCCGTTTTGCTGCAGTGCGCAACGGCGGCTAGCAGCAACAGCAGCAGAAATGGAATAAGAGAAAGCAGCAAAAAGCCGCAGCAGCCAGACGGGCACTTCCTGCTGCATCTGCTGCTGCTGCAGCTGCTGCTGCTGCAGCTGCTGCTGCTGGTTGTGCCAGCGACGCTGCAGCAGGTGCTGCTGCAACTGGTGCTGCAGCAGCTGCTGCTGCTGCAGCAGCAGCTGCAGCAGCGAACCGACAGACCCCATGAGGGAGGGAGGAGCCAACGCAATAACAGCAGAGAGCAAAGAGACAACTCGAGGTTCTTGCTGCAACAGCAGCAGCATTTGCTGCTCCTGCTGCTGTTGCTGCAGTAACAGCAGCGCCTGCTGCTGCTGCTGCTGCAGCTGCTGCATGCGGCAAGCCAATTCGTCCAGCAGCAAAGCCCCCTCGGTCTGCAGCAGACACCGCGCTCCGTCTGTGCACTCGCCTGCTGCTGCTGCTGCTGGCGCTGCTGCTGCTGCTGCTGCTGCTTCTGCCGCTCGCACAGCTCTGCACTCTTTGCATGCAGCCCCAGCAGCAGCAGCAGCAGCAGCAGCTTCATTAGCAGCAGAATCAAAACCTTCTTTTGCCTCTTCATCAATTGCCTTCTTGTGCATGCAGCGGCCAGCTGCGTCGTGAAGCGCATGCAGCGCCCTCCTTGCTGCTGCTGCTGCTGCTGCGCTGCTGCTGCTGCTGCTGCTGCCTGCTGCTTCCACCAATCCAATAATAATATAAGGCAAATGAACAGAGACAGATGGGGGGCCCCCGAGGGCCCCCAGACCCTCAGCACAAAAGCTCATGCAGCAGAACAGCAGCGCGAAGAAGCAGTCAAGACTCTCTGCTGCTGCTGCTGCTGCTGCTGCTGAGGGGAGGGGCCCTGCTGCTGCTGCTGCTGCTGCAGCAGTGTGCAGGTCTTCTTCCGGGCAGCAGTACAGGCAGCTGCAGGGAGGCTGCTCCTGCTGCTGTTGCTGCTGCTGCGGGGGGAGCTCCTGCTGCTGCTGCGGTTGCTGCTGCTGCTGCTGCTGGTTAAGTTCCTGCTGCCGCTGCTGCTGCTGCTGAAGCTCGATGAGCAGCGTCAGCGCCTGATCTAAGTAAGAGAGGTCTTGGGTTTGCTGCTGCTGTTTCTGGACTTTGTTTAAATTCTTAAAATCTCTATTTTTCAAAAATGCCATTTTGCCCTTTTTGCTGCTGCTGACAATCGAAGACAGCAGCAGGGCAGCAGCAAGGAGACACTCACACTGCCGGAGCAGCAGCAGCCAGGGGGCCCCCCTGGGGGCCCTCTGAAGGCCCTTTTGCTTTGCTGCCTGCAGCAGCAGCAGCAGCAGCTCTCCCCGCTGCAGCGGCAGCAAGCAGCAGGAGAGGGCCCTCACAGTGTCTGCAGCCGCAGCAGCAGCAGCAGGCGAATGCGCAGCAGCAGCAAGCTCGAAGGGGGGAGGCAGCACAGCAGCAAGTTCCGCTGCTGCCGCCGCTGCTGCTGCTGCCGCTCCAGGCCCCCCCTCTACTGCTGCTGCTGCTGCTGCTGCTGCTGCTGCTGCTGCTGCTGCTGCAGTGTCTCTTTCCGCTGGGGGGTACAGCCGCTTAATTAAAAGCTCTGCTTCCAAAGCTGCTTCAGTTGCCCCGTGGTGAGGGGCCAAAAACACTGCAGCAGCAGCACTGCTGCTGCTGCTGCTGCTGCTGCTGCTGCTGCTGCTGCTTGGTGCTCGCAGGCGGCAAATGCGGCACAGAGAAGCAGCAGCAGATTCCAAGTCCAAAGAGCAGCTAATCAACACGTCCCCAGCAACACTTGCTTCCCTGCTGCTGCTGCTGCTGCTGCTGCTGCTGGTAGCGAAGGCCGAAGCAGCCCCTGCATCTATCGCCCGCTGCTGCTGCTGCTGCTGCTGCTGCAGCACTTTGCAGAGCTTGAGGTAGCCTCTTATGCTTCTTAGAGAAGAAAGAAAAGATTCTGTTCTCTCCTTTTCAAGCAAAGAGTCTGTCTTGCTGAAGCAGCAGCTGCATGCAGCAGCAGCAGCAGCAGCAGCAGCAAGTGCTGCAGTCAGCCGCTGCGGCCCCAACAGCTGCACAGCAGCAGCAACAGACATCGGACAGACCCGCGGCACAAGCCCGTATTCTGCCGCTGCTGCTGCTACAGTTTGCTGCTGCTGCTGCTGCTGCTGCTGCTGTCTTGCGTTCCAGCAGCAAAGGGCGGCATCTGCTGTTGCTGTCGGCT